ACAAAATAGTAATTATATATATTTTTTTATTATTTTTAAAAAAGCCCAAGGTAATAGCTAAGGATAAGAAAACCTAACCAGGTCCCCCAAATGCTGATATCATACAAGACTCATCTGGTGCTGTTAATTGACTGCAACAACAATATATAATGATTAAAAGTCCCCAGGAGAAAAGCAAACGCCATAGACATCTAGACTTGACAATGATATTACAATGCCAAAACATGTCAATGCAGTACGAAGATATACCAAAATGGAGAAAAGAGAGAGAAAGAAGTTACAGTACTTACATCAGAGCTCCATATACAAAAATTTGAGCACCTAACTGAACTTGTTGCGGATCTGTAAAAGGCTGGTGAAAAACTGCAGATAAAGAACTGAGGGTTTTTAGTCCAGCAAATTAATACAGACATAAAAAGAACACCAAATGGTTCCATAGTACCACCTTCCAAGTGTTCAAAGTGTTGCATCTCATTGGATTTCACAAGCTGGTCAATCTCAGTTGTACTGAGCGATGCATTACCTGTTTTATCACTTCTTTCTGATTGTTTTGCAGGAGTCTTATCTTTTGCAACAATGCCCTTTTTAGCAGCTGCCTTTCCAGTGCTCTTATTTCCTGCTTGCCTCATTCTGCGCTCAGAAGTCTCCTTGGAGCTACCAGACACATTCTCCCTCTTGGATCGCTGAAGTTTTGAACGACTCACCTCTTCAGCTGTTTCGCGACCTACTTTGGTTGAACCAGAGGTTGATGGAGTTCTCTCACCAGCCTTCTTGTTGTATGAACACAAAAGTGAGAGAACAAGTGCAAGAGAGCATGACCAGGAAAAATGATAAAATATAGCACCACAAAATACTTGAAAAATATCATCTAGAAAATAAAAATCAGGGAACTATTAGAGAGAAAGGTTGACTTCAAGAAAGCAGCACTTACCGAGGATATTTTGTCATGCTGAACACTAGAAAAAGGTTGCCAATTCCTGCCAGCTTCTTTTTTAGACCAAATTTCCATTGGAGGAACCTCAAAGGTGAAGCTTCTGTCCCCCGAAGATGCATCATTTCCTTTAGTATCCTGAGAAATAGAGTGCTCTTTGTTTGCTTCCTCACTAATGCCCCCAGACAATGAAGTGTTCAGATATTTGGGTCCTTTCCCAGTATTCGTTCCAATTTTACTTTCTGGCTGCTCGGAAGTCCTAATTAGAAGAGGAAATCCACAGGAAGGATTGTCAAGATCAGCACTACTACCACATTCCTTCACGTGAGTTTTACTTTGAGATTCAGATGAAGATGCAGAAGGAAAAGAACTATCATATGTCTTCGCGTTATCACCTGCAACATCAAATTTATCCATCAGCAGAATAACATGAATTAATGCAGGAGGGAAAACGAAAACCAATGAATAACGTGAATCAATGTGATAGGGAAAGGTAACATTGATGAAATAGTCCCACAAGAAAATAGAGCCATGAAAGAGGTTAAGCATGCAATTAATTTATGGACTGTGCATCCCTAGAAACAAGTCGACAGTTTCATAAATTACCATTAAACAGGATGTAACTTCACATGAAGAAATTCCAAGCAAAAGGAGATACATCCCAATAAAACCTTGGGGGAAGTGAGGGGGTGGCAAAAACAGAAGACAAACCAGATTTTACAGGCATGACAGATAACTGACCTAAGGTACAAGAATTAAGAAAGATAAATGAAGGATTCCACCATGACAGGCTTAAAATATCAAAATACAATTGCTTCAGGGAAAATGATAAAGAAACTCACCATCATCACGATGCGCATCAATATGACCACCAAACTCTTGAGAATGTAATTTGGCGTCACTATCTTCTGGATGATTTTGGTCAGCATTATGGGACAGTTCCTTTGAAGTTGAAGGGACTGAATTTGTTGATGTCTTGTTCTTCTCTGGAATGGATACAGCACCAGAGGGAAATTTATTGTAGTGGACATTACCTTGTGAAGTTCCGAACAACAAAATGCAAGGATATGTGCTTTGTAAAGTGTAAACAGTGGTTCATAACAAACTAATGGCAAGGGAACTAGGAAACAGCAACATCATGGCAAGGTATGAACAACAGTAAAACCACTATTAGTTAGAACTGCTCTAGCTATAGAATAATACCAAATAGAATTTACATAACATAGAGGTTTAATACATTTGAAATTGCCAACAACGGTTATTAGAGGTGATTATTAGGTAAACCAGAAGTCCTACAAAACAAAAAAGGTCACCTGAAGGTCCTGAAGAACCCCTAGGAATAACTTGAGCTTCAGCACCATCAGTCTCTCTTACTGTTGAATCAGAGACAACAGAAGATGCATGTATATCCTTTGCAGCCTCCCAAGTGACACTGTGAAGTGTCTGTTCTCCACTTTGGTCAACAGCATTAGAGGTGTCCTCCATTGACAAGGACTGATCATCTTTCTTACAAGAGGACTGTCCAGTCTCACAAGGTGCACCTTCAGTTGAGATTCCAGAAGTCTTTATAACAGACAAATTTGCCTCTGGAGATGACACTTGAACCTCATTTGGATCTGAAACAGCAGCAGCAGGAAGATTCTTACCAGAAGGCAAAGGCATACAATCCGCTGTATCACAATAACAAGTTAGCAAATCATACGGAGGTAAAAGAAGGCAAAACAAATGAAAAAAAAAGATCGGTTATCAAAATTAATGCTTAAAGTATATATTACCTGACTTGCCACTCATGGGAACATCAGATAGAAAATTTGAAGCTAATTCATTTCCTGTGTCACCTTTGCAGAAGGAAGAGAAATCAACTCCCTTTAATACATTCAGAGATCCACCCTCCCCGCAATCTGTTTTACTACAATCAGAAGGCAATTTGGTGTTCTGCTTTTCAGCAGCTGAAACATTCTGCTCAAATTTAGAATCATCGGTATGTTCAGTGACTACAAATTCCTCATCTACTCTCATTGGTTCTGCTCCTAAAGTATTGGGGGCACCATCACCTTCACCCATAGAACCTTTACCATCTTCCTCAGACAATAAATATTTCTCAGACTTGCTGCTCAAGATTTCTGTATCAGAGTGACAAACACTTTCTGTCAAATCTTTCTTCTCAGTGGCATCACATGTTATCCGCACCATTGAATTCAAGTTATCCAACTTTGACTCTCGACTCACAGAACTTTGAGTATCAATATTGCTGATTTCACTTTCCTGCTCCTTAATGTTAATATCACCAACAAAGGGCATTGGTGATATGTCACGTAACGTTCCTACAGATAAGACATTATCACTGGATATGTCAGTCTGCATAGGACTTTCTACACCCAGGCCCTCACTGCACCCTTCCACCATATGGAGGTCAGAATTCTCTTTCAATATCCTATCAGAAGGCTCCCCCACAGTAGGTATAATATTTCCAACAGCATGTCCATCTTCCCTAGATTGCATGTCTGAAACTGAATGCTTCCGCACATCTGAGGTAACACTTGCAACCGCAATTCCAATCAAGTTCTCACCATCAATGTGAATTTCTTGGCTCAAACCAACACTTTCCCTTGCTAAACTGTCCACGTTTTCCCTTTCTGGACTGTCCACATTTTCATCAACAGTATCATTTTTCAAATATTTGGTATCTTGCCTCTCTGAAAAAACACCACTTGCACAGGCGTTTTGCACAGAGGAAATCAAAGTATCAACTTGTGACCCTGAAGCAAAATTATCTATCTGTTCCCTGTTATCCACAAATTGATCAACCGAAACTTCAACTTGATTTACATCTTTAGACTCATCTCTCTTAGGTAAGTCAGTATTTCCCGTGTTTGGAACGTTCAATGTCCCATCAACAGAGGAGTCAAATTCATGTGTTGGAGAAACATCTTGAATTAACAGATTGTCTCCTGATACATCACCTTTCAGCCCAGAAAACTTTCCAGGAATCTCATCTGTTTGTAAGACAGGCTGTATGACATCCCCTACTTCGGAAAGACCACTACCTCCATGCTTCAAACTAGGCTCCATCTGCTTTATTATGCCGCCCAGTTCATCACAGGCATCTGAATCCTTATTACTTTCACAGGAGTTTTGCACAGGAGGAACTATGATATCAATTTGTGACCCAGAAACAAAGTTATCTACGTGTTCCCTGTTATCCATGCCTTGATCAACTGATGCTTCCACTTGACTTTCATTAACAACAATTTGTTCATCATCTTTAGACTCGTCTCTCACAGATAAGTCAGTACTTCTCATCTTTGGAGCTTTCAATTCATGTGCTTGAGAAACACTGTCAATCAACAGCAGATCTCCCAATACATCACCATTCAACCCAGAAAATTTTCCTGGAATCTCACGTGTCTGTGAAGCAGGTTGCAAGACATCCCCTACTTTAGTAAGATCACTATCTCCATGTTTCAAACTAGGCTCCATATGCTTTATTATGCCGCTGCCCAGTTCATCACAGGCATCTGAATCCTTACTGATGGTTTGACCAAGAATACTTTCGTCCTGTCCTACAGATTTTAATAGCATTTCAACAGATTCAGAAGAGGCTGCCTCAGACCAGACATTGTTGCGTCTAGAAATTGAACAAGGTTCGGCTGCACTCGAACTAAATGCAATCCCATTACTCCCCTGTGAAAAATCTTCAATCCACTGGTAATCTTCACAACTTTCAATGCCAAGAAAAACTTCAGTTTCAGCCAGACTATCAAATCTTAAATTTCCATGGAGTTTATCATCAAAATCAAATCTTGGGAGAGCGTATGGGCGTAAAACAGGAGGAAATTTACTGTTCCCTTCCCCAGCTAAATGAAGATTTGGACTTTGGAGATCATTGTCATTATAATCCATGAGTGTATCCCTACAACAGAAAAAACTTAGAAGAAAATGGGTAGTTGAATGCAGTTCAAAATTCAAATAATACACTGGTAAAGAGATCAATCCCTAGACTTTTAAGAGTATCCTTGTACAATTTGAATTGTGCACGAAAGGTGTATAGTTAAGAAGCTTTCTCCAATCACACTACCAAGTTTACTACTTCCTATAGAGTTTAATGAAAATTTACAGTTCAAAGAACATAATGGATTAATGTGAAACATAAAAAAAGATGCTAAATGTTCACACTGCATAACCCTATGTCCTAAACGAATGACGAGTAAAAATGAATAGTATAGATATTACTATTTTTTTTGGCTTTCCCAATATAGTATGAAAACTTGATAAACTACATTTATGATTGCAAGTCAATTCAAAATAGGATAAGGTTCGCAAAATTTTATTTGCATGTAAACATGCACAAAACCACTAACTTGAATACGTTAACTATACAATTATACAAAGGAAAAAGAAGAGGCTGTAACATAATCGACTGAGCTTAAGCCAGACTAGAAAAATGCAGAAAAGAAGGTGGCTTCAATCTATTTAAGCGGAAACCCACAAAAAATATGTTTTAAACTTTAACACTGAACTCCAACTTCAAAAGGAAGACAAATGTTCTCAAGTTCTATTTAAACATGCAAATGATAAACCTAAAACATAATTTGTTTAATAAATACCAAGTAGGTAAATGAACAATTACCAGAGCAAGTAAGTCTAGAGACGCTTCCTCCCTCCATCCGGTGTTGAAACCCAGGCTGTTTGATCTCAACTCCTCCCTAGTCCTACGGTCATTTACTGAACCATAAAACTCCAATTCATAACAAAAACACTTTAAACACTACATAACAACGATAAGGAATCAAACTAAGATCAAAGAGGAAACCGAAAAATAGAAGATAAAGTGAAAGGAAATGCGCTTGAATAAAACCAAAGGTAAGTGAGGAGGTAATTAATTGAAGAATTAATCAGTAACCGTGACTCACCGGAATCTTAAATTCTCCTGCGGACCGAGTTAGGGTTCCGGCGAACCAAAGTAAAAACAAACAAAACAAGTCGGTTAGAGAAAGAAGAGGTGGGGAAAATGATGAAAACGAGGTATGGTAAATCTTAATTTTGAACAAAAAAATAAAATAAAATAAAAGTAAACCTCTAAAAATGGCGATCATCGGATGGCCCTCGACGCTTCGATATAAGACACGTGGCTTATTATAAAACAACAACAGTTAATGTTAACAAGGCGGTGATTCTGTTTCGCGACAGACGGGTTCGATTTGCAGCATGTGGTGAAAATCGACGATGAATGTGGGGTGTTGTCTGTAAAATTATTCTTTCCTTCCTTCCGAGGAGAGTGATTTCCCACATTTATAGCATTTTTTCTAGTAAATATAATTTTGTGATTTTAAAAAGTCTTAATATCAAAATAAGTGTTTAAATTATACATCTTTTTTTAAATATGTGTTAAACTATTTTTTTACTCCTTTGGTGCCTAACGTTACAAACGTTACTCATTTACGTGCTCGGGTTAACGGTGTTAATTCCTCCGTTAAGTGACATGTGTCACAACCTGATAATTTTAAAATTTTATTTAAAATAAAAAAATTAAAATTATATAGTATATATTTTTTAAAAAAGAAAACACATTTTTTAAATAAACCCAAAACTTTAAAAACCTTCATTTCAACTCGTAACTCATGTCAGCCGCTGTCTTTTGCCATCGACGAACTTACCCAACTACTCCTCCCTCCGGTGACCAAAACCTCCATGAAATCGTAACCGGTCAACGGTCGATCGACAACAAATCAACGTTTTATATCCCGCAAACCCTAGGATGAAAATCGTGATTCCGATAGCCAATCGACGGAAACTACAATGACGTACGAGTAGGGGATAGTAGGGACTATGTCGGTAGCGGTGATCATGGTCGGAAAAGGAGGTAACGACGGATTAAGGTTAGGATTTGAGATTTTGGGTTGTTTTATAATATAACAAAAGTTAGTGTTTTTTTATAAATATCATAATATTTGTAATATTTTAAAAAAATAAATTTCAAAAGCATCATTGTGACACGTGTCACTTAAAGGGAGAAACTAATGTCGTTGAATGCCCGAGCACCTAAATAGGTAACGTTAGGTACTGGATGAGTCAAAAATTAGTTTAACACATATTTGGAAAAAAACAGTATAGTTTGGACACTTATTTGGGTACTAAGCCTTTAGAAAACTCCACGTAGGTACTTCTAAATATATTCAAATTTAATGAAATATTAAATTAGAATTTCATATTTCTATTAAAAATTTAATATCATAAAAATTAAAAAGTTGAATTTTATGAAAATGAGGTAACAAGTGGCTTAGTGATATATATTTTATCTTGACAAACATTGTTTTTATCAGGGTTAAAAAGTTGCGGATCGCATTGTGTGCAACATCGACCAGGATAACCTCAAAATACTTGTAAGTAGATCCTGCAAGATCAAATGTGCACAAATGCGTACTCAAATGGCAAAACCAGAAGATTTAGCAACTCCTACAAGCCTCATTGATCCAGTACGAGTTCACAACTCTTCAGACCTCCCAACTTTCGACCGGCACTCTCCTCTGCAACAGAGCGCTTGCTGGGTTCCAATTGGGTAACACCCAGATTCGTGGGCTTACCATAGACAATACCCTTTGGAACAGGCCTCTTTCGAGCACCCCTTCTAACACGAACACGATAAACCACATAGCCCTTTAAAAGAAGTACACACAAGCATGTGAGATGCAGCAAATCTCTGAAAATCGGAAACAAACCACGTGCTTCGTATCATTTCATTTCAGAATGAACGCCGGGAATCTCCATTTTGCTTCAAGTGCTCAAGTCCAAAATAACAAAGTTCAGGGCTAAAACGCTTCGGAATACTAAACTAGAGTCTTCATTTTGCTTGAAGAACTCGTGTCTGACATAACAAAGTTCAGAGATAAAATACGCCAATGGTCGCTCAACTATGTTCAAATAACATAAGAATAAGAACCACCAAGAAATGGTAAATGGTACTTGCAAACAATTAAGGATAAAATACGTCAAATGTCGCTCAATATTGTTCAGACGATCGTCTTGACCATTAACATTTCAAAAGTTACAAAACGGTACTTAAATTTCGACAAATTTAATGACATTTTCGTACATTTTGAAAGTTTAGTGACAAAAACGATCAGCGACTTATCCAACAATCAATTGCTAGATTTAAATCAAATCTGAAGAACATCCATTGATTAAGTTCTGGAGAACAAACCAAAGCAAATCAAATCAAATTCTAAAGCTATGTCGATTAGGGTTAAAATGAATTGGAAAATCACCTACTTATCCAATTATGCCTATTCTTGTCAAACCAATACACAAAAACCAACCGAAGTCCAAACTTCAGTTTCAATCTTTTCCCGCGTGATCCCGGGAACCAAACAGAAAGAAAGTTAGCTCAAACAGTAAACGAATCACAGGCAACAGTGCGAAATAATAAGATACATCCAATAATAGAATTTATGTCGAAACTTAAACAGTATTCCAAAACAAATAAATCAACAGAAATCGAAAGGCAAACAAACAGATCAGTGATTAACAACAATTATGCCACTAAACTTTCCCTTTTGTTCATGGTTTTTTCCTTACTGACCTTTCTGTTGATGGTTTATACCACTAAACTTGTAATTTTATCAATTATACCATTAAACTTTGATTTTTGTTTCAAAAGGCTATTAAATCGTTAACAGCCGTATCGAAACGACGTCGTTTTGGTGAGGTTTCTACGTTCAAAGTTGTATGTCATCATCATGTATTAACAATTTAATGTTCAGTAGTGTAATTGAAACAAAGATCGAATTTCATGCTATAATTAAAAAAAATAAAAGTTTAATTATATAAACGATACAATACCTAAAGTTCGATGGTATGTGTAGTTTACTCTAAATTAAATTATGAAATACAGAAGAAAGAAAACGGACCGACAAGTTTGAACACTATATTGGACTTTAGTAACCATCCCCATTTTCCGTCCAATTCTTTCTTTTCTTTCTACACATTTAGAAAACACATGCTTAATAATAAATATTAATATTTAAATTATTAATAGTAAAATTTGAGAGTTGAACACTTGTTTTGCAATAAATCTTTATTTTATTTTTTTATTAATCTGGGCAAGTATAAAATATTGAGACAATATATGTTCAAAGATATTTTAATCATTTGATATTGAACACTCACATCATGACATTCTTGGTGTTCGAACCCGATATTTCAAGAATAATAATATTTCTTTTATCACCGAGGTCTTCGAGATCTTAACAATTCCTTTATTTTATTTTGAGAATTGTGTTGTTGTATCTCTTTAATAAAGAGGTAAATTATAAATTTGGTAATTGAACTTTACTCTCTCTCTATTTTATTTATTGTACTTTAAATCTTTTAAATTTCTTCATTGAGCTTAATACATTGGTTTTTTTATCACTCGATTATTAAATAGTTAACAACATTAAGATATGGTGTTATATAGATATAGAACTATGTGGTTTTGATGAAAATTTATTTTTTTTAAAAGGCATCGTTTTTAATGATATTAACTATTTAACGACGAAGTGATCAAAAAATGAAAGAGAATAAAGTTCAATAATCAAACAAAAAAAAACTCATTGTGTTAATTTCAGTGAAGAAATTGAAAACTTTTAAAATTTGGTGAGCAAAATAAGAGAGATAGTAAAGTTCAATGATGAAATTTGCAATTTACCCTTAATAAAGACAGTGACTTTAGCATAAGATTATGGGTTGCCTGAACTGTTTCTATCCAAATTAAAAGAACGGATACAAAGCCAACTACCCCACTATCCCACTAAGCTTTAATGGTGGTGCGATCAAGATCATAAATAAAGACATGTTTTCTTCCACAGAAGTGAACCACTGAAACTCCATATCAAGTTATGAATGATGTGGTAACGCCGTCCAAGTTTGACTCGATCGATAACCTGTTCTGCTCATAAATCCCGAAAGAATCCGACTTGACCTTAAATACAATGATAATTATTGATACACATAGTTGGATCCAATGTTTCACTTACAGACCAAGCATGAGAAGATCAACACTGATTTTTTCTTGTATCGTAACTTTGAATATCGTCGACTGCAGCCGTTAAATGTTAATCCGATGATTTTCAGTAGAAGCAGTAGCAGCAAGTCTAAAGCGTTCTTCCAGGTAGTCCGAGCTACGGATAGGTGGAAATCTACAATGTCATAAGAAAAAAATAAATTATATGTCACGTTGTTTGGATACTCATGAACATACCCGTATCGGGTTGCATCGATACCTTGGGGGACAAGACTCACTGCAACAACTCTCCAAGCATTCCACTATACAGTCTTTGTTGGGTTCTAGAAAGAATGCCACCTGAAATGTTGCAATATAAGAACTTTCAAGACAAATCAAAGCCTCCCTCGATTGAGAAGCGCAGATATCGAGATCAAATCGAAACTTTGGATCTCAAAGGAATGTGATGACTTTTCAATCTTTTGCAGAATGTTCAACGAAATGTTTCAAACATAACTTGAAGTTGAAAGATGAACAAATAGATTCCCGGACCACTTGAGGCTAGCCAATAACACATAATAAATGTCTGTAAGAAGTAGACAGGAAAGAACAATGTTTACCGAGTAGCGTTCTTGTCCGGTTGGTATCACTCGGTGCATTGTTGACCTAGAAATAGTCGAGACTAATGAGAGGGAGATACATTGGCACTGCCATTAAAAAATCATTCCATGAAACAGGGAATGGAATTACCGGAACAAACAATTAGTCCACCTCTCCATCATGTCCCCTATGTTGACGATGAATGCCCTGTTCAGATCCGATGCTTAGAGGCTGAATTTGATAAAAACACAGCCACATAGACTAGTCATTTACTCACCCACTTATGATTGGCACATCCTCCCATACTTTCTGTTGCTCGGATTTTTCCCGGCAAACCTGTTAGCGCTTACGGTGAAAACATGTTGGTATCAAAATGCAAAAGTTAAAGGGTTGAACATGCCTGAAGCCCTGGAACACCATCAGTCAGCAGAAGAGTGACCATTCCATAATCCGAATGTGCAGAAGCACCATATACCCCTTCCCTAGAAGAGCGCACGTCCCCTGATATCGAAAGACACATCATCATAATCTAGAATTTCTGTAAAAGTTTTCATCACATGCTGCACTAGGATCATGAAAATTGACCTTAGTAAAGGATTCCGAAACACAAAATCTTAGTTCTACGGACAAGAATATATATATGTATATGTAAATGATATACTCGTATAGGGCAAAAAATTGGGTAAGAAAGGAAGGTAAAAAGCATAGGAAAGCCCAAAAGATCATGATATAGAACACATCAGTACATGGCATGAATTGGCATCGATATATAAAGATGAAAAGCAATATCTCCAGACCTGGATAGTGTATTAAGCGCAAAAAGGCCATTGGTTTACTCAAGCTCCCGATTTTTGAAAGAAATCTTCATCCAAGTTCAAAGCCAAGGCAATTAAAGAAATTAACTTCATCCCAGCAAACCTGAAGCAGCAAATATAGTATTATCATAAACTTGCCGAGTCTTTCCATATACTGCGCTGTAATGTCTTGATGGGTAATATTCCAAGCAATGTAAATTGCATGTTCTAGAACAGCAAAACACCATGATTTGTAAGAGCTGACGAACAGGGGAAAACATAAAATCTTGAGAGAACGACGATTTTTATTTATTTTAAATCATTAGTTAGCGGGCATCTAAGCTGTAAATTTATGAAATAGCAACCTCTAAACATAAAACTGTCATTTTTCATTTGTCATTGGTCTTGAAATCATATATTTGGAAAGTCATTCCCGGGCTGTTTTGTGGTCTATTTGGAAGTACAGGAACAGTATAGTGTTTGAAGGTGGATTGTTGGACCAGATCAATCTGTTTTTCCTAGCTAGATACAGACTGGTGGCATGGTACACCGCTAAATATAAAGAGTTCTCGGGGTTCTTTGATTGTCTTATGGGGGATCCCTCGGTTGCGGATAGATGTGGAAGTAAGGGGAGTAGAGTGATCAATCGGGTTCGGTGGGTTCCACCTCCTGAAGGTTTCTTCAAATTAAATGTGGATGGAGCAGTCACGGATGATTGGTTGAAAGGAGGTATAGGAGGGATTATTAAAGATTCAAGGGGTTCTACGTTGGCATCATTCTCTGAGGCTGTTGGTAAAGGGCCTCCTACAGCTGCTGAAATGTTGGCCATTTTGAATCTTTTCTTTGACTCACAATGGAGTGGCAAAGGAAGACTTATTGTTGAGTGTGATAGCCTTGTGGTGGTTAATTGGATTAAGAATTTGGGGGGTTGTCCCAATCAGCTGTGTTTGTTGTTGAGTGGAATTTTAGAGTTTTTAAGGGATAAAGCTGTTATGATCAGACATATTCTTAGAGGGGCCAATTGGGAGGCGGATAAGTTGGCTAAAGAAGGCATTGGATGAGAGGGGTTGTTAGTAGGCATGGTTAGGGGGGGTTTTGTTTTGTTTGGTTTTTCTGGTTGTATGTTTCTGGTGTAATCTAAGTTGTAATTTTCAATGGTTCAATAAAATTTATGACACTCTTTTCCTCTTCCAATGCTCGACGAAACTTTCATATTTCGTTGAGTACGAAGGGGTTTTTTAATGAGGTCTCCCTATTCTATCAAAAAAAAAAGTTTTACTCTCATCCGCAAACCATAAATGCCAATATCGAAATTATTAGGAGGAACTTACAAGACTTTTCTATAGTAAGCCTCCATTGTGCTTCTCCAAGATGGCATATCTTCTGAAATACGGGAAACCCGGAAACTATCACAACAAAGTTCTCATGGTTGATGGTTCAATTGCAACATATTAGCATCAAGCTTAAACACAACAGCCTCACAATCAGAACACATAGTAACCATACATTACATACCTTCGGAAGGCCATTGATTCAGGTGATTTTCTGCTAATGTACCGATATAGAAGCTTTCTTTAGCATCACCTGCTTTTAACCAGCCAAAAGCAACCGTTTGTCATCTTGAACTTCAGTTTCAATCAGACTTGATTACATGCTACAAACAGGCGATTATGAAAGCAATAGACTTCCTGTATATTCAATGACAATCTTGATTGGCAATCAAAGTTAATTCTCGGTTTTGTCTATTAGGTGGACAACGTTGATTGTTCCCCGGTACATGATACCGATCTCAATGCCACGAGTGTCTAAAAGAGCTCAACCAAGACAGATGAAAACGATAAAGATAAAACCGAAATACCTATGGCGGTATTTAAACTAGTATCGAGTTTCTCGTCGTACAATCCCGTGTAACCTCTGTGATTATTGACAGCAAAATTGACCTTCTCTTCGAGCGGGAGTGCGAAAAACTTCTTACTGTGCTCGAAAACTTTCTTAATCAGTTCTTCCTCAACCCCATGATTTACAAGATAAAAGAAACCCAGGTCCAAGCATGCCTGAGATACAATCCCCAAATTTAGACTCTGAACCCTCTTAAATCATTCAAAGCATAACCTTTAAGAACAACATATTCTTAACAATCTGACACGAAAGGACCGGCAAAGAACATGGTTGTGAATGCTGAATTTGATAAACTACCATTCATAATTACTTCATTTTCCATAGAAACAACACAAAGGCGCAAATAACTTAACATAAAACTAAAATCAAACCCATACATACTGAACTTAAACCCGAACTCGTAGTTTAGTTTAATCATTTAAGAACATAGAAACGAAAACCCAGAATGAAAAAACGGCCAAAAATTGAAGGAAATGGGGGAAAAAATACAAACTTGACGAATAGATTTGGCAGTGGAGAGGCGATCTTCTGAAGACAAGTCAATGACTGGTAGTTGAAGAGCTTCAGACATTCTTTCGTAATCCTTGATGAAATCAAGTTAGTTGTCTCAATGAACTTGTTTCTGAAATTCAGAGCTTTTAAGTCTTCATCAATGGCTACTCTAAAGATGATGGACCAAGAGGGTTTTCATTTTACCAGATGACAAACATGGTACGAGCTTGTCCATAAGAACATAGGTAGGGAGTGAGTTGGCCTCGTTTCGTTCTCCAAACTTGGGCTCTTGTTTTAAAGATTGAACGCCGTCCATAGGCTCATTTTTTTTTTTTGCTTCCACACTATATTTATATATGATGCTTAAGTTTATTGTATATTATACAAAATAGTTTTTATTATAAAAATATAAATATTAATTTAAAATTATATTTTATTATTATTGTCTACAATTAATTTTTTTCTGTACCAAAAGCAGATCTACGTTCTTAAATATCAAATTTATTTTATTAGTAACTATCGTATTTCATGTTCTATTCATATAAATATCATTTTCGAATTCTCCGATTAAATAAAATCTCAAAACTATATAAGATTCTATATAAGATCTCTTATAGTCAAATCATATTTTATGTTCACTTTTAAAACATTCAAATACGAAATCGAGCTTACTCGAACTACGTTAAATATGAAGCCTTGAATTTCGAACTGAGCTTGTACTAATAATATGTAGATAACCCTTAACTAGGAAAATGTGTGGTTTTCGGGTTAGCACACCCGCTTGTATTAGAATATCAAATATCTTCTAAACTTGTATATTTTGAATAATAAGGGTAAATTATATCATCCACTGTTTAATTATTTAGCCCTTTTAATTTTACTATTTATCAATCAAATCACTTAACTATTTAATTATAGTTAATAAAGTTACTTACCTTCAAAAGTTGATAAAAATACTGACGTGACATTAATAGACAACAGGAAAATAAGTAAAGTAGCCTCTAATGATTGTTTTGGTTATCAAGGACCGAGCCAGGATCAAATTGTAAGAGGGGCAAAATAGGTTTATATCAAAAGAACAATAATGTATCAAATATTTAAATCTAAAATTGGGGTCTCAAAGGTCTTATTTTAAGGACTTAAAACGCTATTATATCAAAAAGTTTGAGAGGGACAACAACCCCTCCCAAACACCATGTAGATTCGTCCATGTTGGTCATTATACTTTTAAAAATTATTAAATAATCATTAAATTTATTAAATTGTTATAAAATGATCACTATTATGTTATAACAACCCCTCCCAACCTTCTCTGGTTTTGCTGCAGAGTGGGGTTTACTTCAGTTTGGGTTTTTGTTTGTTCTTATTCTGATAGGGTGATGGGTTTTGTTAATTGTTTGTTTGTACAAATATGATTACTTTGGATGAATAATACTTCATTTATCCAAAAAAGAAAATACAAGTGTATTACTAGTGCTTGTAAGACATGTTACATTTGTATTTAGGGCAAACTACACATTTAATACTTAAACTATTAGTTTTGGTCAATTTTAGTACATATAAAATGGTTGTCCCTTGTTCCCATATGTAATGGGGTAAGGAGAGGTGAGATAGTAGGTGCCCCCAACACCAGGTTGAGAGCAGCTTCAATAGAAGACCTCCGAATTATGAAATGCCCTCCGTGAGACTCGATCCCACGACCTCAAGGTTAATAACCTTGTGCTCTACTAATTGAGCTGGATAGTCATCTCATTTTAGTACATAAACTTTTATTTTTTTAAATCATACCTAACGTTTAGTTTTTGTTCCCTTTTAGTACCTTTCTATTATAAACTTAACACAATTAGAACCTAAACTATGAGTTTTGGTCCATTTTAATACCTTACTTTCTTTATTTTTTCAAAACTTAACGTTAAATTTTAAACATGAGTACCAAAATGAAACAAAAATTACATTTTAGATATGATTTTGAAAAAAATTGAAAGTTTAAATACTAAAACGAAACAGAATTAATAGTTTAAACATTAAATGTATAATTTACCCTTATATTTAAATTTACCCATAATCAAAGTTTTTAGCCATAAATATAAGTACGTACGAATGGCAAATTCAGGGATCAAACTTGTCATCGGGTGAAAAAAATTCAGGGATCAAATTTTGAAAATGACAAATTCCGGGATCAAAGTTGGTTTATCCCTTTAAAAAGTTGGAAGCGAATTTTCTCCATAACTCAGTTCAACACGTGTCATTAGTTTACCCACTTTTCAGAAATCCCTACGAATCATGCCCCGTCGTTTTAGATCTCCTCCCTCACCCCCGATATAAATTTATCCACTTTAGCAGTTTCGTCATTTTTTTATTTCTCGAAGTTTGTAAATCGCAAGTTCAAAGAACGAAAGCGTGGAGTCCTGGAAATCATCTCTTCACGATTTCCCACCAAAAAGATCGGGAAAGGAAATCAGGCATTAGGTTTCCAGAGCACAAATTATGTGTTAAAATTCCCAATTTCCATTGATCGGTCACCGTTCGAACAAGAGACTTCATCTCCGGCTTGTTCCCGCCGTCTGATCTGCCCATTTTTTCAAAATTATGTTGGTGGTTTCTGTTCGAATTCATCATAATCTAGTTGTCCCCAAAACAATTTCTATTAATTAATCTCTCGTTCCATTCCCTGATCAACTTCCAAGCTTTAGGGTTTGTTTTTGAAAAGGATTGTCAAATATTTTCATTTCCTTTTTCTGCTTTGATCAAATCGTACAAATTCTGTGAATTCGGTTGTTAGGGTTTGTAATATTGTGCATATCTATTTAATCTCCTTTGAACTCTGCGGCTATGTATATTGAGGAGTTGAAGGTAGGGGAAGAGGTGGACAGCGCTGGAGACAAAGAACAAGAAGAAAATAAGAGTTATTGTGGAAGTAATGAGGTTTTGGGCATCGAAAGAACCGTTGTTGAATGGGATGCGAAAAGGGTATTGGTGGGTGCAGGAGCTCGTGCTCTGTTTTACCCGACCTTGTTGTACAACGTTGTTAGGAACAAGATTCAGCCTGAGTTCCGGTGGTGGGATAGAGTTGATGAGGTATATATGTTAAGTTCTTGTCTTGTTCATCCAAAGTAAGTTATATTGTTGAATATGGTGTTTTATGTTGTGTTATTTTAGAATCTATATTGTAATCTGCTCACAAGTGCATGGTTGTTTTAACCTTGTTCTAATATGATGTTCCTTTGTTTTTGAAGTTCATCCTGTTAGGTGCTGTTCCATTCCCCACTGATGTTCCAAGGCTAAAGGAGATCGGTGTAGGCGGAGTAATCACACTAAATGAACTTTACGAGACTTTGGTTCCTACATCTCTTTATCATGTGGCATTCTCTTCTAGTACATATACATTATACATATTTTTTTTACTATTTTGCATCTTTGTTTTCTGAATGTTGTCTCATTTTCCTCCAGTTTTTGAGTTTTTAGACTGATTTTTCATTTTCATTATGATGTTTTCATTTTTTGTTTAATGTTGCGTATTTTGGATCCTTTGATTGTTTCCAAATTTGTTAATTTCTTTTAACAACTTTGTTGTAGAATCACGGCATTAACCATTTGGTGATCCCTACAAGAGACTACTGCTTTGCACCATCTTTGACATCAATATGCCGAGCTATTGATTTCATTCATAGTAAGCCTCCTTTGAAGGGGTTGCTTGTGTTGGTTAAACTTGCCTGAAAATGGTTTTTTTAAAAAAAAAAAAAATTATTACTGTTCGAATGTTTCTCCACCCTTCAGTTCTTAATTTTTTTTCTTGCTGAATGTTCCCTGTTTTCATTGTCTTTTCTCTAGGAAATGCATCACATGGGGAAACTACATATGTCCACTGTAAAGCTGGCCGTGGTCGCAGCACAACCATTGTATTATGTTACCTGGTTAGTGCTATATAAACTATAAAAAGGTGTTGGCCACATCACTTGTTTGTTCTAGATGCACTGATATGAATTCTGGTTTTATATAGGTCTATTATAAGCGGATGACACCTGGGGCATATGATTATGTGAAGTTGAACAGGCCAAGGGTCCGGCTAGCCTCTTCCCAATGGCAGGTATAGCGTCTCGGGTCCCCACTTTCTCTAATCTAATTCGGAAAAATGAATCCATACTTATTGTTTTTATCGAAATCACAATTTCTGAAGCAACGTGCTTGATTCATCACTTTGTTGCAATTTTAGGCTGTTGAAGATTTCTACTATCTTAAAATGAGAAAGGCTGCCTTCCACAGCCGTGTGATGGATTTAATTTTAAGAACTTCAGACTCGGCGTCTTCAGGAGACCTAGTGACTTTTGATGATGGTTCGGTGGTGGTGGTAACAGAAGCTGATCTTGATGGATACGACCAAAGTCTTGAACCAGATGCCACGGGAAGTAGAATATGGGCAGATCTTAGTGTGGTTTATCGGGTTAGAGTTGTCGGTCGGGCGGCATTAGCAAGAATCTCGTGCTTGTGGCTAAGCTGCCAAGCACATCAAAAGCTTTCAGCACTGGAACTGGCTAAGGAAAGCACCTGCCTTGGACGTATCAGTGTGGACATTCATGTCTACTGAAAACTGCAGTTACACGACGCAACACACACATGTTGTGTAGGTACCATTGTCCCTTTTCATCTCGTCTCGTACATAAATAAACTGCGAATGATGTTTCTTAAGGCTGAAGCAAACTATGTTTGTTCTTCCCTTGTAAATCGAGTAAACCATTTCTTATGAATGGAACAAAAAGATGGGAGCATAACTGCTTAAGGATCAAGTGTATATCATTCTCATATTATATCCAAGTATTTTGCCAACAAATTGCTTTGAAGTGGCTCTAGGAATCACGTGTTCAAATTTGATTTATAATGTTGTCGTACATGGTATGTGTGTTTATTTTTGGACAAATTATTACGTTTGAAATTGGTCCTTTTTATTTCCTTTTTTTCATTTTAGTCCTTAGTAATGTGTAATTGAAATCAGAAACGCTTACAGTTGCAATCGACTCCAAGTAGAGATATCGACAATTTTTGAAGACAAACATTCAGTCCTTCACCATAGGATCACTTTGCCCTCAAATTTCTCTTCGTGTGATGTTTTTATCAAAATCATTAACATCTAAAAGTGACTAACAAACAAATATCTATAAATAAATATACGATAATTATATTTCACAGATTTTCTTTTCAAATAATGTTTCATTAATTTAACCAGTATTGTGGTCGTAAAAGAACATTACTGCGATCAGTTATGTTAAAAGTCGCTTGTAAATATTTGATCATACAAGGAATTGAAAATTATAAAATAACAAACATCGTTATTTTTTTAATAAATTAATTTTAATTCAACTAAGAAGGGATGAAAGAAAATTTTAAGAGAATGAAGTGAAATACTCCTAATGGTTTTAAAATTTATAATTTAGGAAAATATAAAATAATAAAGATAAACAATTTAATCAATCGATCAAATATACTCACTTATAAACATCGCTATTTAAACTTTAATACATACATTTATTAACTAATAGAAAATCCGGCTGCTGCTTCTCGTGTTGATAATTTATCCATACAATATTGGGAAAGTCTAGGACCATTTTGTCTTGTAACTATCCAAATTCACTAAAATTTGAAATTAAATATTAATTTTACAGGGCACTGTCAACATTGTGTGCGGTGTTCGGTGTTCGGTCCACACTTTAGTGTCTACGTGTTTCCAATAAAGCTTTCAGTTTTCTAGCTATAATCAACAAATGGTTACCTACACCACCATATGTCCTTGTCAAATGATTAAATTTAGGGTAAATTATATAAAAATGATGCATCGACTATAGTATAATATTTTATTAAATTTCTCGATTATTAAAAATTATAAAATAATCATTTAATTATTAAATATTATTTTGTTAAGTCATTTGAGTATTAAAAGTTATAAAATGGTCACTTGACTATTTATTATGTACCAAGCTCATCATTTTCAATTAAAAAATTGGCGATAGTCTAAGTTGGACATTAACATAACGACTGGATGTGATAGTCGTTTGAGATTCTAAGATAATATTTTGTCATATCATAGTCAGCAAGTTAACGTTCAACTAAGAATATCGTTAGTTTTTTTAATGAAAAATAACGAGTTTGAAACATAGTAAATAGTCGGGTGACGATTTTGCAAATTTTAATAGTTGAGGGACTCAACAAAACAAAACTCTATAGGAGATTATTTTATAATTTTTAATAGTCAAGTGACTTATAAAACAATACATTATAATCGAGGACTATTTGTGAATTTTATCCTAAAATTTAACATTTTTTATATTTGTATTTAATATATAATTAGCTGGGGTGGATTCACAATTTTCTAAGGTGGATATGTGCCTACACTCGAATTTCTTTAGTTATTTATCAATTTTATTAATCGTGTTCATCTTGAATTTTATACGTATTTATCTCATTTAAAAATTTATACTATTATTGTATGTGTATTTATCTTAAAAATATTTATGGGTCCGTTACTAATAATGATCGATTAATCAAATCGTAAAAAAAAATTCAAGCAGCAGCGTTAATGTCTGATGAACAAATTAATTAATTTAGCGGCTCTGCAATTATATAAAGGAAAGTAAACATTTCATTTTGATTTTCTATTAACGTGACATTAAATTTATAAACTTTTATAGTGCTTTTTCATCTGCGTCGAAGAAAAAGAGAATTAATTAAGGCTAAAGTGGAGACGATGGAGGTCAATCCCATTGTCAAAACGGCTGCTTTGTTTATAATACATTTGAGCATTTCATTTAAATTTATTATCAATAATTAACACCACTAATTTAAATTTATGTCTGGATATCACAACTCGTTTAAGATTTAATTAGTGTTTATCGTTGATAATAATCTTTTCATGTTTTTCATTAATCTCGTGCTCTCTCACTTAACCCTCAAGTCATGTAAACGGGGAAAAAATAACCCAAAATTAAAATCTTAAAAAACAACAAAGAGGGTAAGGAATAACAAATCTAAAGCTCAAAACAAGAAACCACGCAAAGAAATAAAACATATAACGGAGAAGAATAAGAAATAAATAAGAGGATTTTGAGCGTTTCTACGATTTTAGAGGTCTGTTTCTTAATATAAATCATACTTCTCTTCACGTTTACCTACACTAGGAAGACTGAATTTCATTTGGGAACGAGAAGTTGCTTTAAAACGATTTAAGCTGGATGCTCTCGAGGATTGTTGGCACGAACAGAGGCTAAGCGTGGTGCTTTTGCATTCAGAGTTTCAGAAGTGTACTTCCGACTGTTGGCATCCACGGTTCGCTTACTCCTGCATTCATTCTTTCCGCCCGTCTCATCATCACAGTCGTTTCGGCGACCATCGTTTTGGTTTTCTACCAAGATATGCCTACTCCTGTGACTGTTGCCAATCTCCAAGGCTGATTCACCTCGCTTTTCTCCATACCTGCTATCAATAGACTTTCCATGGCGACGGTTACTGTCGCCACCAGGACTCCTCTGGTAATTTTTGGCTCTATGCGAGTCCTCATGGCCATGACTATGAGGTTTGGGTTTAAATGGAGATCTTTCCCTCTTCCCGCTTCTTTCCAAAGGTGATGCACCTCTCCCTTCTTTACATTTTCCATTGTCGATAGGCCTTCTATAATGAGGGATACCATCATTCACGGGTCTTTCGTACAATGTACCATGACATCTGTCTGACCTTGGATAATAAGAATCCTCATGGCAATATCTCTGAGGCTTTGACTTCGATGGAGATCTTCCCCTCTTCCAGCTTCCTTCCAATGGTGATGCGCCTCTCCTTTCTCTACCCTTTGTGCTATCAGTAGACCTTCCATGGTGAGGGTTACTGTCAACACAGGGACTTCTAGACAACCTAGGATAATTTCTGCTTCTCTCGTGGCCCTTGTAATGATCATATAGGGCGTCGGAGTTGAAATTGCCAAGATTCCTCTTGCTGATATGATCTCCCGGTGAATACCTTACATGTTCCTTGTGAACTTCTGGTTCTGGATACCGGAAGAGGGATGTAGATCTGGATATTGATCTTGAAAAATGCTGAGATGGAGACTGTAATCGAGGCTCCAATTCCCCACTACACCTATGCAACCAAAATGAAAACCAAACAAATAAAGAAAGTTGCACGTTTCAATAAAATAATAGCACATATTAACGAAAAGACATATTATGATGGTTATACTAATGTCAGTCTCTATGAGAACCTTTTTGAGCAGAGAACATTCACAGAGTTACAAATGCAACCATCATTTACCAAAACTCTTCATTTTTCTTAAAGTACCCAATGGTTTTGGGGAAATGACTTCAAAGGATCCTCCAAATACATAAAAACTAAAAACCACCGTGTCGATTACATAGCTGAGTTTAAGTATACAGGTATTCACTTTATATACCCACCTCAAAAAATGCTAGCATGTATGATTTAAGACAATAGAGCCAGTTTCTTGAATGAAATCCAAAGTATCCAACAATCAGAAACATCAGTTTCAGCATAGAGCTAAGATACCGAAATCAGAGACTGAAGGGTGTACTTTCATAGAGTTAAGTCAACGAGAAGCCAGAGAACTAATTGAACAACTTGTCAATACATTCCAGCATGTTATATGTTAGAGAAAATCTATGCACAGAATATGCAATGGAGCTGGAGCAAATATAACACAAATGGTGAGAAAAGGGGATGATATGTTAAAGCCATCGTACGTTTCGGAGTTAAACTCTTCTAGTTTCACTTCTGGTGTAACAACGTTTCTTCCTAGACGAATTTTACTAACTTCAGCCGCACCTGCTGTGATTTGCTGAACAGCTGCTTTTATCTTTGCATCCTGTGCTTCAGCAAGCTGTTGGGCCCAAAGCTGTTGATTCACTAGTGATTGTTCGAAACTTTGCTCTTGCAGTGCTATGGCATCAATCAAAGCCGAGAGTGAGTATCTGTGATTCGGTTGGCTTGATGTATATGTTTCCTGGGAGGTAGTCTCCATTGCTTAACTGTATATCTTTGCGGTGAAGAGTTGATTTCTCCAAATTCAAGACCGTTCTCCACCAGCGATTTTCCAGACAAGAAAGTCCTAATACTGCAAGTGCACTACATTAGGTTTCAAAGTTTTCCCAAATCTTTAACTACGTTACATTAGGTTTTTTCTTAAGATATCTTACACATATCCAAGCATAGATACAAGATATTGTTCTCCAAATATACGAAAAAAGTGAACATATACATTAAACTTATCTCGACAATCACACTGAATCCATGTAGTATAGATCTTTTTCCAGGCTTTAACAAATGCAATGCAAGTTCACAAGTTATAAACTTAACTCTTGGAGGGAGCAAAAACTTGCTTAATTAACAGCATTCAAATCTGATCAATAAATTGTTTCTTCAACAGTTGAGTAATGCAGCCACCCTCTTCATCTAGGGAAAAGCAACAAAAACGTCAATGAAAACTCCAAACTAAATCTGACATTCAAACTAGCATTTTTTTTTCAAGAATTATTATACCACTCAAGTACCGAGATATGATCCCCAAATATTTCCCAAACACATAATAATTCTGAAAATGTTGAAAATACTAGACTCGCACGACTCAACGCTTGAGTACGAGTAACACGAGTCGTAACTCGTCACATAGGTCAAATCCGTTGTCTTTCTTTCTCTTCTAGCAAAATACTCACTAAACTACTTGTATTTTCTAATCAAACCCTAAAAATGCTGTGCTTAACAAATCATGAAACAACTAAAAGAACCAATAAACCGTAAAAAGGAGGAATCACATGAGGCAATCATCAAATAGGAAGCACAAATATTTATCATTAAACTTATTTATTTTTCATAATCATTATAGTGCTATAGTAATTATTTTATAATAATTTAGTAAACTTAATGATTATTTTATAATTTTAAAGGTTCTATAGTTAAAACGTTTATTTGAACATAATTTAATGGATTTCAGTATACTTTATCTTTGTTATTGGTATAAAATAATCCAATTTACATGCGAATAACTTGTAGGGATGGAAGACGGATACAATTTCATAGATTTTGTACTGTGTCTGCTCTAATTGAGACGAGTATAGATATAAGTTTAATGAGTAGTGGGCGTGTATGAATATAAAAATCATATATGCCATAGGTAGGGGTAGGTGATGGGTTTGAGACATTACTCGCCACGCATTCGTCCGTCCCGCATCTGCCCACCCTACATCCGCTCGCCTACTAACTTTCCACCATATAAAATTTGGACCATTATGAATTTAAGTATAATTTTAGATATTATTATGTAAATCTTAAGATTTTCGTTTATAAAGCATGCTTGTTTTGGATGAATTTTCTCAATGTATGATGGTAGGAGTGAATTTTGGAAGTATTGCGTCTAGGCCGGTTCTGTATATTTCTTGCAACTTGTAATTCTTCCATAGATTTTGTGTCTCTATGTTTGTGCAGTGTGAACTTTGCTTTGTGTCGCTTTTCTAGTTATGTGTGTTTTTTTTCATTTAAGTTTAGAAAGATTTTTAACGAGACACATAACTAGACTAAATCTTATTAAGAATTTTTTTGTCAAAAAAAAATCATGATAAATAACTGAAAACTAAAAGATGTTTATATACAATACCAAAAATGTATTTCCATGCATTAGTCTTGGAATTACGCATTTACGTAAGGCATGGACTTTAATACAAAATACAAGCCTTGATCTTTACAAGTTCTTATATTCCAATACACCCGCAACATGCAGCACAGAAACACCGCCATATAATCACTTTTCTAATTCTTTAGGGCTTACCAGAGGGGAGCAAATAGATTCCACCTTCTTATACATAGAAGACAATCTATGTACAGCTAGACGAAAAATTATTCGATGAACCCGACTAATCAATTCATATGTGATCCCAACCAATAAAATCCATCTATCTCATTTTTTTCATGATGAATCTTCACCTCTTTTCTACGTGTAAATAAGGGGTGGATAGTTATTTTGAAATGGATGGATTTTATTAGTTGGGGCAATAGATGACGTGGTGAATCGGATCAATTAAATAATTTCTCCTTGCAGACGCTCAGATCCTCATAATATGCACTGGAAATGGAGCAAATACATCATAAAATGGTAAGAAAAGGGAGCATTATGTTGACTCCTACCGATTTCAATTTTGGTGTTACAATGTTCTTCCCTTGAAGAATTTCATTAACTTCGGCCTCACCCACTGTGATTTCTCAGACAAGGTAATCTTACTACTGCAAGTACACTACATTGACGACTGCCATGATTAAAGGCTTTGATTATAAGACATTTTGGAGGCTGTGCATCACACATTTACATTTGTCTTCAACTCTTTTTTCTTGAAAACAGCCCCCCCCCCAAATTTCCCTATGCAGCCCACGGGCTTACTTGGAGTTTTCTGGTGACACCCATCCAAATTTTTAGCTTAGAGTCGTACATACACTGTGCATTGATCATGTCTGAATCTGCATCGCCATTGATAGTTGGATGAGTTAGAATTGTTTGATTCTAGTGTTGTCCATGGAATGGAAAGGACACATGAAATAGGTAGAAAGTTGAAATCCGAAGGCCCTCAAAGAACCAATTCCAAAACCAATAAAATAGTCTATGAACTTGGAATTTTGATCATTCACGTCATCGAATGAACTAAAATGATTTTTTTTAATTAAATTCAGAGATTAAAATAAATGAAAAAGTAGAGACCAAAATAAAAAATTATTAAGTTTAGGATTTAAAAGCTAATTTATCCTATTTTTTTATAAAATATTAGTTGATTGCATAATGTATAATGTTATTTTAAACTTAACAACTAATAAACCAACTATCGATTAATTAAGTAAATATATAATTATCGTTAACTAAGATCGATTTAGCAAGTTGCAGAGACATGATCTTGTTCTGCCTGAAATAAGGTCAGCCATGTGTTCATTATGTTCTCAACTGAGATCAAAATCAAAGGCAGTTGAAAAACACAGTTTAGTCTCCTGTTTTTCTTTATCTAAATATCTTCTTCTTTCTCGAAATCTTAACCACGCAATATCTCTATTGGATACAATGAAGTCAACGTTTTTTTTTGTGCTTTTTCTAACAGTATAAAGTGTTTGTTAATGGATATGGATTTTTTAGAAAGATTTAGAAGTTCTTCATGCAAGTTGCAGTATTTAATATTTGCTATATATATATTTATTAATATAGAGATTATTGTTTAAAGGTAGGCAGAAATGGAGTCAAAATCAAATGTTAAGGGAGTAAAATAGTTTTATATCGAAACAACAATGATCTGTTAAGTATTTAAATTAAAAAATTGAGGGACAAATACCTCATTTAACTAATATTTAAAGACCTAAAATACTATTATACCACTCCTAAAAACTAGGTTAGAGTTTATAATATGAATTTCATTTTGATTCGGTTCCAAAATTTTACGTGTGGCTTGTAAATAAATTATATATATATATATATATGTGTGTGTGTGTGTGTGTTAACTTTTTGAATAGAGTGCTAATAATTTGTATTCAAGAAAACAATTCCGTGATTATCTGTGAAGCAATTATGTGACATGAAAGCGAAATGGATTAAAGTAGGGTTTTCTAATGCATACCCTAATGATTTCACTTTTGAACCCTAATCAGTATTTAGACAACACACTTAAAAACTCCCAGCTGTACATGCATTAGCGGATCTATTAAGGATGTGTTTAATTCACGGAATGTAAGATTATCAGTAGAAATAAAAGATTATCAGTGAATAAGATTACTGGGAATGTTGTATTTTGTGTTTGGTTGGTTTAGCAGGAATGTAAGATTACCGTGTTTGGTTAAAGGAATAAAAGATTATTGGAATGTATATTTGACCAAATTGTACTTATTATATATTTGCTTTTTTAACAAATTGGAAAATATTTATATATTTTAAAAAAATAAAAAAAAAATCATAAAATTTATATAATTTTTTTACAAAATTAAAATATAAAAAGGTTTAATGAAAAGGTAAAATTTTATTTTAACCCCTTAACTTCATATAAAATTTTAATTATATATATATTTTTTGTAAATCTAAAATAGTTTAAGGATAAATTTGTAATTTAACCTTCGCAGAATTTTTATTATTCAATGACAGAATAATGATATTTTTGAAAGAAAAAAAAAATTAAGGGCATTTTAGTCCAAAACGCCGGTAATTCAACAATACCTAAGGAAAGGGAGATAATGACATTCCCGGTAATATACCCCAAAAAATTCACTATTGGTAATGTAAGATTACCGGGAATGACATTCCCGGCCAACTAAACGGAGGAATGTGGATTCCATTCCCATGAGAATCTCACATTCCCCCAACCAAACACACCTTAAGAATTTAGGATGAGCATATGCTTAAATCCAAATTTTCTTTAAATAATTATAAATTTTAATGATTGTTTTTACATTGAAATTTTAATTGTACTTACTTGCATAAAAAATTATTTATGGATACATCACTATATAAATGCAGCCTCTCAGGACACTTTTAAAATGTTCTGCCATGGCTTCTCCTCCACAAGTACCCAAGTCCATGTACATATTGACAGAGAAACAGTCCCAAATATGTGTCTCGTTGAGATAAGTCGAGCAGCAGCAGCATCGATGATGCTTATGCAGTATGTGCTTGACTCTTGTCTATATAGGGTTGAAACTGGTTGATTGTGTGGGAATAACAGAAGGGGTATATACTGGTTTAGTCCTCCGTGTATTTACCGAATGGAAGATCAGATCAAATCTTCATATATTCGACGTGATTAAAATATTTTTAAGTGTTTCATTAATTATTGGATTGTACCCATTGATTTGATTCTGGAGCCAATATGCGAATACATGCACTTTACCAAAAGGATAGCCGCAGAGAATCATCAAACTTACAATGCATATTTGATGAAAAGCGAAAGAAGAACCACTTCGCATGCAGCCCTATATTTAGGGTAAATTAGCTTTTTACCACTTAATTTT